ATGTGTTTTCCATGATTGACTTGCTCGTTTCTTCTAGGAGCAGCGTAAGAGAAACAAGTTGTAGTTGTAAAATGAAAGATTGTTAGATGAGACAGTATTCTTTTTTTCTAGCACTCATTATTTGAATACATTTAAAATTTTGGTTGCATCATTAGTACAAGAGTATAATTTAACTTCAAATTGATTGTTTGAAACTGGAATATAACAGTGATATTTCGGAGTTCCAGGAATAAACAATTTCAATAAGTTGTGGATAACACCAGAATTAAAAAAAAATTAAAGAATTTTTTTAAACAAGTTACCAGCTTACACTCTTTACTAAATTTTAAGGCATAACTACAGTTTTCTCTACAAAACAAAAATATAAAAATTTAAGGGAGGATCAAGAGAAAGTCAACGTTTAATTTTTTTTTTACATTTAATTTACTGAGTATCTTTCTTTGGGTGTATTTTTTTCTCAAAAAACCATTTAATTACCTACAAATTCTTTTAAGATGTCATTTTGATCAGATCAATCATTTTCATATTATAATTTTTTGATAAAATATATTCCAGTTTTTGAATATGCCCTTTTCAAAACTTAAGCATGAAAAAAAAAAATAGATCCTGATTATATTTAGATGAAAAATGCCCCAATGGTAGCAGTGAGCATATGAGCAATGTTTCATTTAAATCAGGAGGGGTCAAGATTGACATTTTTTAGCGTTTTGGGCTGAAAATGCTCTAAAGTGACTATTTTTTTTTTTTCTTCGGTGTGTTTTTTCCGTCGATCTTGTTTTCCGTGCTGAGCACCAATGCTACCGACGTGCCAGGAAGGCAGCTCCCACACCTGGACCCTACCTATCGACCCATCAACTTATGAACCGGGGACCAACGGCTTTACTTCCCATCCGAAGGAAGGCGTGATCAGAGATGTTATGCCTCAGAACATCCCAGCGGCGCCGACTGGGATTGAATCCAGGCCTGCTGGGGTGAGAGGTAATCACGCTTACCACTACACCACCGGCGCCGTTTCTAAAGTGACTATTATAATAACAAAAAATATATTGAAATTGCATGACAACATTGAGAACAAAATAAATAATGATAAAAATCTGAAAATTGTGTTGAGTGAAATGGAGGAAGCGTGACATTTGCGTGAATGTCACTAGAATGAACTGGTCACAAGGTTTTGCTATCTGGATATTCTTATATAAAGATGTGACCAAAAAATTGGATTAAATTAAATGACTCTAATGTTGGCCTATGGATCTAAGATTGGGCCCATCGCAAAAAATCTGCTATTTATCAATTTTATCTAACGCGTCATTGGGACGGTCCTAATGGATATTTTTGATTGTTCTTGAAAATTTAGTCGATTGCTAATTGCCATACATAAAGGGCCCAAATTAGGGGTATTTAGGCCGACATAACATCCATTTCCCCTACGTGTTTGTTCCCGATGATTGGCCAAATGTCGTTTCGAAAGCTATCCAAAAGTTTTCGGATTTTTGTATGGGAAATAAGTAATTTTAATCAATAAAACAAATGCAAACTATCCTTTCCAACATCAAATTTATTCAAAAAATGCAATGGTTTTATTTTGATAGAAGTAGCCACTTTCACATATTTTTTTTTAATAATACCCTGGATGAGGATAAGCCTTCTGGAAAATTGATCTGAAAAGAGATGGACTAGAGCGGCCAACTACATCAAGCATCATTGAAGTATAACCTCTGTATCGCCAGGCAGTGCCCATTAAAACCACAAAATATATCGACCCATCAAAGCTGCTGAACTATTTGCCACCAGTTCACCACCAATTCTTCAAATCACTTACACACAATGCTATGTAGAAAAAAACAAGTTGATCATACGCCTTACAATAACAAAACAGAAACCAATTAAATTGTTGGAAATCACGGATTACCATATGGATAACTAGTCTGTAATTTTGAAAACTGGAATTTTCGTTATCTTCTTCTTTGGCTTTTATTACAACTCTACTGGGATTTTACGCCAGCCTCAATTTTGAGTTGGTCTGATCGTCCGGGTATGCCCAGGAAAGTCAAAACATTTTCCAAGTCTAAAAATTCTTAGACCAGACCAGGAATTGACTACGCCTGTACCAACTAAGCTTTAGGAGGCCCCCGTATATGGAAAATAGTTACTGTAAATAAAATGAATACTGATCGTAGTTCATAATTTTTACTATCAAACTTTGTAGTGAAAGGGTTGCTAGTGCAGGAAATGAGGATAAGTTGAAAGATGTTTTTTAGACATTACAAATGCCTAGCAATGAAATCTTTACACAGCAAAAAATTAATTTTGATATCACATCAAAGTGGATGCACCTCAATCGTGTCATAAATATGGTGTAATATTACTTGCAAAAAAGGACAAAATTATCATTAATACAGTGCATGAACTGGCATTACGCTGCTTCTACTGCATTTATTTATTTTTGTGACCATAAAAATTACATTAGATTTTCGACATGATTGAAGTGCATCCTCTTGGATGTAATATTAAAATTATTTTTTTGCTGTGTATAAACGGCTATAACATAATCCATAACAGATAAGTTTTGAAATATAATATCGTTTTAGTAATCTTCTAAGATATGTAAACTTTGCATTTTCATTTTCTCGGAAATTTACTTCTGGTTACTTACATACCTTTCCTTCTAATCCCCTCAAATAACTTTGTAGAACATGCTGATGACGAAAATTTCTACCAGAAAAATTGTTGACAAAACATGTATTTGCCGAAGTCTTTATCAAAAAGTCTGACATATGTTAGAAAGAAATTTATACCTGCTGCAAAAATGCTTATTTTTTCCCTTAATTTTGTTTTCCTTCGATATTGTTTTTCGTGCTGAGCACCAATGCTACCGACGCCAGGAAGGAAGCTCCCACACCTGCACCCTACCTATCGATCCATCAACCCATGAACCGGGGACCAACGACTTTAGTTCCTATCCGAAGGAAGGCATGATCAGAGATGTTATGCCTCAGAATATCCCGGCTGCACCAACTGGGATTGAACCCAGGCCTGCTAGGGTGAGAGGCAATCACGCTTACCACTACACCACGGCCCATATTAATATTATCTAAAACTTTTTTTTTGGTTTTTTAAGTCAGAGGAGCGAAGCGAAGGGCAGTCGTCTAGAATAAGCTTATAAAAGAACGATTTTAAAGAGAGTTTCCAAAAGAAACATGTTATGAAGATCCATTTAAAAATCTTCTTTAGAAGCTTCATTTAGATGTCTTACGAAGATTTTTAAAGAAGCTTCTTAAAGTTGAAGATTCTAAAAGAGGCATCTTTTGGTAGCTCATTCTAGACACTATCCCGTCGCTTCGCTCTTCTGACTAAAAAACAAACACGGACAGAACAGTAAATCTGCGTTGCTACGCAGTAAAGGAGTATTTTTCCAAGGTTTAAGGAGCATTTCATAGATTTAATATTACGTTTGAATATCGGATTGTTAAACGTGTAATTTTACATTTAAAGCCCTGCTCCAGTTGGTAGTTGAAAATTACATAATATTTTTATCTGTGGAGTTATAACATACAACAAGGGTATCTTGATGACGTTTTTCATACCAATAATTTTTACAACACCCTTTTAATATGTTATGAATCCATAGGGCGTACATAGCATTACACAGCAAAAAAAAAATTTTTAATATCACCTCAAAGTTGATTCACTTCAATCGTGCCGAAAATATGGTGTAATATTACATGCCAAAAAGGACAAAATTATCATTAATACAGTGCATAAACTGACATTACGCTGTTTTTACTGCATTTGTTTATTTTTGTGGCCATTTGACATTATTGAAGTGCATCCTCTTGAATGTAATATTAAATTTTTTTTTTTTTGTGTATACATGTACAAAGCCGCTCTCGAACTATACAACTTCTTTTTTTATTTTTTGTCTTTTCACTTCTATAAAGGGGAAGAGTTGGTCTAGGAATGAAACCCTGATTAATTTGAGTAAAATTTCTGTCCTATTATATAATAACGTGACTGTTGTAAGCTTAAGGTACCTTCTATAAATCAATGTAAAACGTAAATTGATCACGAAGAAAAGGTGCATATTTAAATTGATATAGGGGAAATGACGGCTTCGGCATGACAGACTATTTTCGGCAACCCAAATTGAAACACTATTTTCACTGGATTTTCTTACGAAAACACTTCGCTGAATGCATGCAAACGATTCTTTATGCTTTCAGCTTCAATTTGACTATATTTTTACCACTGAGAAAAAGCAATCTAGCAGGGTTTTCTTGAAATGAAACACACGCACTACAAATTGTAGCTGATTTCGAGTTGCCGATAATAGAACAGCAGATTTACATGCAGTTCAAATGGAACGGTTGCCGAAGAAAAACTGGTTGCCGACAATACTCGCTCTCACTAGAGAAGATTGGAGCTTTGTAGAAGCGTTTCAAAACAGTTTTTGACAATTCTTTCGACTGAAATTGTTAGAGCAGCTGGCAGCAAAAGATTGTAAACAAACCAATACTGCATATGTGTGCGAAAAAGGCTATAGAAAGAAGGTCGCTGCTTAGGTTGCCGAGAATACGTATATTCCCCTACGACTTTGTGGAACATTGTGTAAATGTAATGATTGAGAACTCATTAATCATAGGAATAACTCTAATTTCACTCACATCAAACGGTTCAAAATATAAAAAAATGTCAATAAAGGTTAAAAATCCTGTATGAATTTACATTTTGAACAACATGAAATAAATCACAGAATAAACAAATGAGACAAAATATTGAAACCAGTTGGAAAAATTAAATGGCTGAAGAGTAGATGAACCAGTTATGGCATTAGTCGCATTTGTGAAAGTATACTATCGTAAGTGATACTTTTACGTAAATGGGATAAAAACTCGTACGCCCATTCCCAAAACTTATTCTGTTATCGTTATTCGTAAACTCAACTTATTGATGACAAGTGGTTCCTACAGGTTCGATCAAAAATTATAAACAATTTTCTGAAAGTGTATCTGCTGTTATGTGAATACCTTTATTTATCTTACTAATCATCGTTATGAAAATGTACAACTAATATGATCCTACCTAATGCCTTACTCCTAACTATAATTCAGTGCGACTCACAATATGGCAAGAATATGTTCCGAGAGAGTGAAACCATGGACTTCCAAACATTCATAATTATTTGAGCAGTTGTTTTGCTGTTCTCATGGATTGTCTTTAAATTTACGATTTCTATCTAATAAATTAATAGTCTACTATCACATTCAATTACATTTTTCGTTTGACGCGATCCAATTGTTATGTTTTTAATTCTACCGTAATGCAACGAAAGTTACGTTGTATTGCTATAAATATGATCTTACATCTTACATAGGTGCTGGAAAAATGTGTTTGTATGGCATCGACTTAGATTTTTCTGTTACTCTCCCCCATCGGGTCTCCATTCATAGTATGCACTTAGTATTCTTCATAGGGAAGAGAGCTGACTTTATTTGGCAACAGTTACCTTCATACCACGCCCACTACCCATTAGAGCGAGAGAAACTTGATCAACGCATCATATATCAACCGCGGGTTAATGTCGGAATCTGCTGTATAGCGAACTCCGCGAAGGTTCCCGTCGTTATGGCTCAACACTCCGTACTCTCCAACGATAAATCCGTCGGATGTTTTCTCTTCTACCCGATATTTACGATAGTTCCGCCCTTCCACCACGTAGCCAACTTTTGAATCGTCGGTTGAACCGGCTACAGGGGCTAGCGTTTGCACCACATTTGGAGTGCTTCCATTACCAACCCCCTGCTTTTCCACGTATGGATCTATGACTTCCGTTGGATCGGGAGTTGGTTTGTTGAAGTTTTTCCTCACTGGATCATGCACCTGTTTTGGAGTGAACTTGCCAATCGCGTTATGAATCGAACTACGATCCTCCGCATCTGCTGGTGCGTTAAGTTCATCATATGGAATTTTATCCAAGTCGTTGTATACGATACGCTTCGGGCTGGTAGATGAATCGGTAGTCGCCGCTGCTTGGGACGGAGAAGCTCTAGAAGGAGCATTATCATAAGCCGTTTGCCAAAAGCTAGAAGGTTTAGAATAGATCTTAGCTGGTTCGGAATATATTTTTGCAGGTTCAGAATAGATCCGGGATGGTTCTGAGTAGAATTTGGCTGGTTCGGAATAAACTTTTGCTGGTTCTGACCATATTTTTGCCGGTTCGCTGTAATTTTTCTCCGGTTCAGACCAAACCATGGCTGATCCTGACAGAGACGGTTCGCTGACTGCACTCATTGACGATTCGGCCGTCATAATTTGCGAACCATTTAATTTTGGGAGATATTCTTCGTCTATATCTTTCCAAGTCTTGAGAGTTGGTGCCGTTTCACCAATAAAACTGTAAGAAACGGAACGAGGTTGATCATTTTCACTTTTCTTATCATGATAGATAACCGTCTGACGAGGAGCAACTAGGTCCTGTTTTCGCTGCATTCGTCCACGGGTTGGCTGCATATGGGGCTGGTCAGATTCAAGGGCCACCATAACATGATGAACGTTTGTCGATTCCCCTCGTTCTGCGTCTTTTCGTTGATGACCAACAGAGGGGTCACTTTCCTCAATCGTAAACTCACTTCGATAGGAATTCGAATTTAGAGAACGATCTCCTTCATTTAGATGAACTGAATCAATGTCTTTCGAAGATGTCTCGGTTTGTTGACTAGCAGATACAGTCGTCGGGATGGTACTTGTCATCATGGTTCCGCTTGTTGAATCAGTATCGATTGAGTATTCCGATGTTGACATCGTACTATCAACCACTTCGCCCTCAGTAGTCCCACTGGAACTTACGCTGATCTCACTAGCAGCTACTTCCAGATCTTCGAAAGTTACAATCGTTTCAGTGGTACTTGTAGTACTTGATAGCAGTTTGCCGTTCCTCGATCGTGACCTAGTCCTGTGGTCATATGATCGAGAGCCGGATCGGCTTGTATCTTCATGCGAGCTGAATAACGCCTCGATTGGTAGTATGCTCTCCTCATCTTCTGCGCGTCCATAGTAAAATTGACTGAACTTGCGTGACCCTCTGTATGGATGAGCTGTCACTGTTGATTGCTGGATGGTTGTACTTCGGCTAGCGTAGTTATTGCTTCTACCGCTACGAGAATCTGAATCCATGAGAATCGCTAGGAACTCTTTCCCTGACAGGATATCACTTGGTGTTGGATAGCTGTACGCTCGGTATATGTTTGAAATCTGCAAAAAAAAATAAGCAAACCGGATGTAGGAATTAGACCTTCACAGTAAAGACGATAGTTAGGATTCATTTGCCAATGATAGGATTCAATTAGAAGCGCACTAAAAATTAACAGCCATCGATTCAATAGCCATTACTGACGGAACGAGCCGAGCAAATTCCGCAACGGCAAATTAACCGTAATTTACTTTGAATTCATTCGCATGTTCCCATCTGTTCGTGCGGCTTGCGATGGCCACACCTTTGTTTCGTACGCATCATGATCGTGAAAAACAACCATCAAGCGAGCCCCGCGCAGGCTACAATGGTAAAATGATGATTGTGGATTGCGGAACATCATAAAAGGGAGACAGAAACTGGCCTCAAGGTTTGATGCTGTTGCCGCATTATAGGAATTTTGTACCACTTAAACAGAACACAATATCCTTAATCAGGCAGACTACTACTCGGCCAGTTCGATGCACTATGAGAAAAACCCGTCTTCATCGTACAGAAGCATTTATATGAAAATTACTGCACAATCACATGGTACATTTTGAAAATGGCAATATATTGATGCCATTATCCAGCGTATCTAGATTATTATTATAAATCTCCAAGGTCAAATTCCTAGCTCACTAGCTAGTTTTTTGCATGTCATGATGATATGTTTTAGATATCAATATACAAATTCTCTGGACGTCAAATTTCAAACAACGGACGGAACAAATTTCAAAACTCAACACAAATCATGTAATTATCATATCACTTAGAAATTTGATTGATTGAATCAGCTCCTGTATGTTTATGTACAGTTCCACAACATGCTTTTACACGCATATGCTTGGTGCTTTTTGAACTAGCATGCACCGACGACGGACGGCTCGCCAAAGGCAAACCGGAGCTCTAATTAATGCCTAAACTGTTCGATAAATCTTAATTCGACTGACACTAGACACACATACACATCTGCAGCGGACTTCAGGTACCGCAACGATTTGTATGAGCACGTTCCAAAAAAGGGCGTTCCCTAGGATTTGCATTTGATATCCCAAGTCGCACTTTGCCGCACCAACCGGTACCGGTACACCGTGATTATTTATACTGACAACCAGTACAATCCGACTAGACACGGTTCACCTTCTCTCTGTTCGCTGATAGTAGATGTGTGCTGCAGAGTGGTGTAATGTAACATACGGTACTTAGGAGTTGAAAGTCGAATCCGGCTGGGAAACGAAAATTCTCGCCGAGCATTTGAAAAGGGCCTATCCTCGTTGACCAATTCTCTTCATCGGCTTTCTCTTTGGTTTACCACGGCAGCATAAACGAATCTCGCTAAGCTCGCAGCACAGTTCGACAGAAGATGATGTTAGCCTGCGCCTAAAACAACACACCGAATGGGAAATACATTTGCAGTCGGGGTATTCACGAAAGAGAAAATCAATGAAGAGAATCGATCAACAATGATAGGCCCTTTTCTCGTCGGGCTCGAGGTAGACAACCTAATGAAGATCCCTCAGTTCGGGATGTTTTGGTTGGACGCGAGCTGGAAATTATGAAACTCATATATGTTTTCTTGAAGAATATAAACCTTAGATTTTAAGTTTGACTAAACTTGTTTTTAGTTTGTATTGTGTGTGTGTGTGTTTTTTTTTTTTAATGTTTGTTTTGTAATAATAGTATAATTACACTGCTGATATCAAGTTGAATAGGAAAAAATTCATGTTTTAGGAATAATGAAATATTTGTATTCGTATTCGTAAATTATATTTCAAACCTCCTTCTCCCTCTTCCCATCCATGAAACTGTAGATCTCCACTAACCTCGAGACGACCACGAGTACTAGTTTCAATTCCTTTAACTTCAGATTTTAACTTTAGATTGAAGACATTAATAATGTATAACACAACTGATAGTTCGGCTCTGTGAAGTTTATTCGATTGAACCTGTACAAATAAATTAATTTACAAAAAAAAAACTAAAAACTAATCTCCATGTAAGCTTCAAACCATTTGCGTGACCTCTAAGCCTTTATCAAGCTTTAACATTTTTTGACAGACTCATATTTTGAGGTTATGATTCAAACTGGTGGTTGGCCTAGATTTTTTTTAACACTTTTTTTTTTAATTGAAGCACCCTACAGGGGAAGGACAGCTTCAAGTATCAGTATCAATACCGATGGTGGAAATATTAAATATTTTAATATGTGTGATATTTGCGAATCTTATACTTAGTCTGACAGTTGTTTTTTGCTTGTTTTTGACTATTTTGGTTTTAAGTGTACATTTGCCATTTGTTTAATCAAAAATGCATTTCACATGAGAGGCAAGTCATTCCTTTGTGATCTTGCTGGCCACCGCCACCAAAATTCGCTCCTTGTTCTCATAAATTCGGCATTTTTGGGTAGCTATTCTCTGTGCACTTCCATTCCCAGGAATAAATTTCCACGAATTCTTCATCGTCTGTGAACCAATGTGCTGTTCTCCGATGGAACGAGAATCGATTGACAACGCCGCCCCTGTTAACATCCCAGAGTGATGGTTCCGTGGTCGTATTACGCTCGATTCGCCATGAGCATGCAACTTGGAGAGATTTGTTGCTGGGGGAACGTCTAGTACCGTTTTTATCATGAAAAGCCGAAGTCGAAATCGATCAGAGCTATCGAAAACGAAAATCTAGGCAAAAATTATGACAAACAGAAAGCTGCAGTAAACATAAACAACAACGGTGCAACGTCATTGAGTGTATGCGTTAAAGTTACACTGTTATTTTTTTTTTACTTTGAAGCTTTCCGCTTGACAGTTAATATCATTAATATTTATATTAAAAATTATAATAACTACCAATTTGAGCAATTTTTACATCAAATATTACTTCAGATCAAGTTGTACTTCCCCAAGCACCCTACTGTATAACAGTAAGGAATAGATTAAAGAATGATTTGATCCTGGAACACTCCATTAAAATTAAATCAAATGTTCAGCCAAATAGATAAAAGCATTGACATTTTTCAGACTAATGTAAACCTCTTAGCAGAGTTTCCCTTTCTTAAGTATTTTGACGATTCAAAATCACATAGAAATATCCTTTTTTTTTTGAGACAATGGATTAAACACTGTACTCGAAAATAGTGAGACACGCAAAAATGTTAGCCAAAAATCCATTTTATGTTGGATTTTCTTTAAACTTTCAGCGAATGAACTACAGCATTATGGTTAGGTTTTAACTTCAATGCTTTATCGAATCTCAGCTCCCTAACCGAATACCCACACCTTGCCCTTGGTACAAAAACAACATTGTTGTCTCTGTACCAGTCTAACACAGGCCGCGCGTAGTAGCAGGATTCCAAATCCGACCAAAACAGCGTCTCGTCTCCGTGAAACCGCAGGAAGTGTAGGACGCGCTCGCCCCGGTAAATTTTCCCGTTGATGGTACCCGTCCTGATGTACGACTGGCTCATGTTGCCGCACCCACAGATGACCTGCCAAACCAAAAACTTTTTGGCGAATTTTCCACCTTGTTCTTCTTTACTTCCTCAGAAACGCTTTGGTATAAGTCTCATCGTTCATCACGATGCACCTTGGTTTAGTCAGCCACTCCCGGTATAGCTTCCTGGCACGGGTTTTTGGCCATCGTGTTTTGTTTTTCGTTCCGGTTCGGTGCCTTGTAGATGTGGATACCAGCAAGTTTCATCGTTTTTGGACAAACCAGATGGATACATCCGCCTTCTTCGCCGCATCGCGGATCGAAAGATTCGGCCGACGCTTGAACACCTTCCTGGCCTTCACTGGGTCAGCTGTCTTCGGTTTTCTGCTACAGCCTGCCCGCCGCAGGGTCGTCTGGGTCTCATTGAATGACTATACCACCCGGGAAATCGTCGAATGATGGATTCCCAAGTGTTTCCCGATCCATCTGTGGGACGCAGTCTGATTTTCCATGACAGCGCACAAGATTCTCTGCCCTCTCGATAACTGCTTAAGGTTCAATTTACTTTGATGCATTTTCGAAAAATTCAAAAGCAGTTTTTTTCGACGCATTATTTCCGATTGCTAAAAGCTCGCGTCATTTTGTGTAGAATAGCAAAAGGAATCGAATGGTGCGAGCATTTTGCAATCTGAACTAATGCGTTGAAAAAAACTGCTCTTGAATTTTTCGAAAAAGCATCAAAGTAAATTGAACCTTAACAGATTGTGATGAAATTCTTCCAGCGTAAACATTACACTCTTAGCTACTTTTAGTCAAAATTTCGTCAATTTTTACACACACGCTAAAAAGTTATAATCTAATCCATGTAGGGGAAATGACGGCTTCGGCATGACAGACTATTTTCGGCAACCCAAATTGAAACACTATTTTCACTGGATTTTCTTACGAAAACACTTCGCTGAATGCATACAAACGATTCTTTATGCTTTCAGCTTCAATTTGACTATATTTTTACCACTGAAAAGCAATCTAACAAGGTTTTCTTGAAATGCAACACACGCACTACAAATTGTAGCTGAATTCGAGTTGCCGATAATAGAACAGCAGATTTACATGCAGTTCAAATGGAACGGTTGCCGAAGAAAACCTGGTTGCCGACAATACTCGCTCTCACTAGAGAAGATTGGAGCTTTGTAAAAGCGTTTCAAAACAGTTTTTGACAATTGTTTCGACTGAAATTGTTAGAGCAGCTGGCAGCAAAAGATTGTAAACAAACCAATACTGCATATGTGTGTGTGTAGAGAAAAAGGCTGTAGAAAGAAGGTCGCTGCTTAGGTTGCCGAAAATACGTAAATTCCCCTATCTCATTTTTTGCGAGTACAGTATTGATTTAAGCGTTCCAGGCCATTTTGTTGATTTCATGGTCATCGTCCCATTTGAAACCCATTTTAGCCAGTGTAGGCAATCTTTTTAGCCATTTTTGGCGTTTTAGGATAAATTTTACGATTCAAGATCATTATAAAATTGATATGTACATTGGTTTTGGTAAATTTACATGTTACTGCAGTTACATATCAAAAGCTATAAATATTGT